ATGGAAAAAAATACCGAAAGAAAAGGTTAAAAAGCTGAAAGTGGTTGCCTTGAAGGGACAGGGTGGGGAAGGAAACTGATGACCTTTTTGTAATGTCTCTTACCATTATCTGACTTTTTAAAAATGTCAAGCTTAAAAAAAGTCAAGCTCAATAAATATTAAAATAAACTAAAACAAACAAACAAACAAACAAAAAAACCCACTGTGGTATATCCATGCTATAGAAAGTTATGCCATGGTTAAATTTATGAGCAGAGTGTGATACCACTTACATCAGAAAGAACAATACCATATGTTGTATATGAGGCTGTTGTTAGGTGAGTAAATGCTTAGGAATTTACATGAGGGGATTCACCAGACAGACTGCTCCCCGAGGCTGAGCTGGAAGAGGAGGGAGGTGGAGGCACGGATTGGGGTGATGGTCAAAGGGTTGTGAAAGCACAATTATCCTAGAATAGAGTGTAAACAAAATTTGATGAAAATTAAAAGGAGACTGTTTGCACTGATTAAAAACTGGAATACAGAAACGGTTAAATAGGGACTCCTCTGGAAAATGGGACGGGATGAAGTAGAATGAAAACGTGTTTTTTAATACCATGTGAATATTTTACCTTTGTGTACTTACAACGTTCCCAAATGGGTTACAGTGTTTCTTTTCAAAGTTCCTTTAGTACAGTGGTTCAAAAGAGGGGGTGATTTGTCCCCAGGGGGCATTTGGCAATGTTTGGAGACATTTTTTGATGTCACATCTGGGGTAGAGGTGCTACTGGCATCCTGTGGGTAGAGGCCAGGGATGCTGTTGAACATCCCACAATGCACAGGGCAGCCCCACAGCAAAGAACTATCCAGCCACAAACATCAATAGTGCTGAGGCTGAGAAACCCTGCTATGGAGTGGGTTTTTGTCACAACACTGAAGGTTGTATTGTTTTTGGTTACTTATACAGAATAGTAATCGAAATAATATACCTAGAGATCAATCTTGAAAGTCAGTGTCATGGATTGGAAATTGATAAACAAAATACATTTATTTAAAAATTTTTATGGTGTATTTATGCAACTTTCTTTTTGAAAAGGCAAAAAAATTCCTTTATATTAATACAGTACTTTTGTGTGTGTGCAACTTAAATAAAATGTTTATTGAACTTTCCTGCTATATTTTTTGGTTGAAGTAACTTTGAACTCGTTTCTGTGAAAGAAACGGACTCTTTAACTGTTGAACTTGCCTTTTCTTCTCCAGTGGTTTCTCTAGGCCTGAGGTTTCGACTACAAAACTGAAGGTCATCCTTCACTTCTTTTCTTTGAATGAAAGCTCCTTTCTTTTTGGTTGTCTGCAGTAAGTGTTTGTAGTTGACAAATGCAAGGAGCCGCCTTGCTTGTAGGATTGCTCCTGGAGGCTCTTTATAGACTCTCCCAATTATTTTCCATCTAAGAAGAATCTTCCTTCCAAATTTAATTTTGTATGCTTTCCATGCCTTTTCCTCTTCTGTGCGTTCAGCAATCTGCTGTTAGTAGAGGAGAATGCTGTCCTAGTTCTGGTCTGTTGCCACCTCCTGCACTGCTGTCAGTGGTTTATGAAATCCAGTTGTGTTTGGGATGTGCTGTTCCCACGTGCTCTCTCCTTCACTCACAACTGAGTGTCATTGTTTCAGTTCTCTTCTTTGTGGCACCGAAGCACATCTTAAAATCTTTCATATTTAGCATTCTAAAAGGAATTTTAAAATTCTGAGCTGTTTCTGTAGGAGTCTTCATTTCCATGACAACCTTCAAAGTAAGTATGATTCTCTACATCCCTTTTATTTGTGATGCTGATGGTTTTTCAGTTTATTCTAAAAAAAAACATTTTTGTCAGGCACTTGTAGGTAGCATACATCTTTTGTTTTTCCCTGTGTAAAACATCTAAATTAGGTTTGAATATCCTTTTTCTGAATTTTGCTCCTTGTTATTTTTCTTTTTTTTTTTTTTTCCTGTTTTTTGGTCATTTGTTTGTTTTGAGATTCTTTGTTTTGAACTTTTCGGGATAGCAAGAAAGCAGAGTTGTTAAGAGGTCTGGAATCAGACTTCAGAGTCTGGGTGTGAATCCTGGCCCTACCACTGGTTAGCTGTGTGACCTTGGGTAAGTAACTTAACTTCTCTGGGCCTCACTGTAAAAAGAAGAGAATAGTTCCTGCCTTTAGAATTGCTATGAGGATTAAACTAGTTACAATGTAAGGGTGCATAGAACAGAGTCTGGCACTACAGACATAAATGCTAGTCGTCGTAGATTTCCTGGGTAGGAGTTCCCGCACTCCACGTCTTCCACCTTTTCCTACGACCAATTCATAAATGAACACAGCAAGTTGAGGCTGACCACAGCCCATCAATCAGCGTAGAACCTGCTGTGAGAACCAGTTGTATTTTTAACACTTCCAAATGAGGACTGCTATTTTCCAAAGTTTAGCATAAAAATTTCATTGAATCATTGTAATTATGTGAAATGGTAGAAATATATTTTGAGGTCTCATGGAGTTTTGCCAACGAAGGATCTGAACAAAAACTGTGTATACTAAAAAATTCAATGATCAATAGGCATTTGAAACTATCTCCAACTTTTCTACTAATCAAAGTATGCACATTCGAACAACACCAAGATAACCCATTTTATGTATTACATTACTACAAATGAAAAGTGATGATATTTGATAAGGGAGAAGATGGAATGGAACACACTCATACACAGCTTGTGAAATGTAAGTGTAAATTTTATTTTTAAAGCCATGTGTGTAAAAAAAAAAAAAAAAGCCTTAAGTTTTTTAAAGGGTTTTTAAAAAATAACCTTAAAAATTAATCTACTCTTTAGGAGCAATAATTTTATACCTAGACATATGCTCTAAAGAAATAATGCTAGCCCTGGCTGGTTGCCCAGTGGTTAGAGCATCGACCCACAGACCAAAGAGTCACAGGTTCAATTCCGGTCAAGGGCACATGTTTCTGTTGCAGTTCAGTCCCCGGCCCTGGTCAGGGTTGTGCAGGAGGCTACCAATTGATGTGTCTCACATCAGTGTTTTTCTCTCTCTCTGTCTCTCCCTCCCACTCTGTCTGAAAATAAATGGAAAAATATCCTCGGGTGAGGACTTTTTAAAAAAGTTTAAAAAAATATTTAAAAAAAAAGGAAAGAATGCTAAATTAGGGTATTAATTCAGAGATGTTCACAGCACCATGCATAATAATGACGCGTAAGAAACTGCCTAGTAAGCATTACAGAGCTTATGTTATAAGACTCATGGGACTTATTAAGCACTGTTATCATCCTCTGATAGATATTTGTTGAGGGAAATTTTAAATTCTATTAAAATGACATTTGCTTAGTAAATTGCTGTGTAATTTATGCTTATCCTAAGATATAAAATTATATGATGCAACTATATATTTAAATTCTTAGGAAAAAGACAAAGGAAACATAATTGTTAATGTTTTAAAGTGTTAAGAATTGTTAATGTTTGCTTTTTATTTGTAGGATTATAGGTGACTTTTCTTCTGCTTTAAAAAAAAGACTTTTGTCTCTCTCACATCACTGTTTCTCTCTCTCTCTCTCTCTCTCTCTCTCTCTCTCTCCCTCCCTCCCTCCCTCCCTCCCTTTCTTTCTCCCTCCCTTCTTGTCTATTTAAACAGTAATGGGAAAATATCCTCGGGTGAGGATTAAAGAAAGAACAATAATAAAAAGAAAATTATAAAAGACTATTTTGTATTTTCATGTATTTTAAAAAGAGGCTACCCCAGCCCGTTGTAACTCACTGGACTGGAGGGAGAGGAGATTTGCCAGATAGTGGTAGAATTTCTGACATGCAGAGAAGGCTGAGCAGTGAACAGTCTCGGATCAGGGTGGACCAGGCCAGGTCTCCCATCTGCATTGACCTCGGAGTAGGGCACCTAACCTTTGCCAGAAAGTGGAAAACACTTTAAAAGCAGGACTTGCTACACAAAAGTGAGATATGACAACTAAATTGTCATGATTGAATACCTAAAATATTGTTAATGGCAGTACAAATGAGGGTTTTATTTTTATTATTTTCTATGATAATTAAAATGAACAGTGTGGAGGGAAAAAGATTTCCTATTGCTCTCTTAGTGAGGAATGAATGACAGGGGCTTTGTGATCCAACAGGCACCTGCATTTAGGGCAAAGACCTTTCATCCAGCAGTCTCCTTAAATGGGTGGTCACCCAGATCCGAGAAGCCAGAGAGCTCATTGTCATTTCTGGCTCGTGATGGGATATTGTAGCTGCTACTTGCATCTGTCACTGTTCCAGGACTTAAAAAGAGCAAAGTCACCAGCAACAACTTCTAACGAAGGGCCTATCAACAGCAATGAACAGCACTTCTTTTTTTAAGAGAGTTTGGAGAACTTTTTATAAATCAGGTTGGTTCTCAACCATGTTTTTCAGGATAGTGATTATTTTCTCGAGGGTACAAAGGAAGTTTGAGAGGTTGAGTGCTATGATTTTTCGATCAGAAAGCTGGCAGAGGCAAACTTTAATCAGCTTTGCTGCCTCCTTTTAGTCTAGGGTCCTATCTGGAGCTTCCATATGGGGCAGGGATTTCCACCCTCAGCATTTGAAAATGATGCTCCAAGGAGGCATACGGAAAACACCATGTTCCTTTGGGGTTGTTCACTGTGACTGTGGCCAAAGGATTCTTTCCAGTTACCCATCCAGATGGGAATTTGTGGCAGCTTAGAAGCCTGGATGCCGACATGATAAAGTGTAAAATATTGAATTTCTATGTTTCTGTGATTTCAGCTTTGATCTTCATTTTTGATTATGCAATTAATCACGTCCATATCTGTCGCTTAGTGCTCTGGGGACAGATATTTCCCCATTATTTTAGTCCTAAATGCTTTATCCAATTTAAAAGGAATCTACAGCGTGAAACTTTAGCCTAGAAAGGTCGACATTCATTCTGCCAAAAAAACAAAAACAAAACAAAACAGAATAACTGAGTTCCTATGTTACGATATTCCAGGAGTTTGACCAAGATGATGACTGCAGTCATTCCATATTGGTTACTGAAAGAGGAGATCCACGTGGTGATGGACAAGGCTGGCAGCCCAGGACAGAAGGTATCTTGGCTTCTGTCTTCGAAGTGTTTACAAAGATGACATGGATTATTTGGATTTCTCCCTAATTTCAGAAATTCTGAGTGCAGAACTTTGGAAACACAGAAAAGCACAAAGATAATGAAAAAACATTCATAAGTGTCTCCTTTGGTCCATACCCGAATAAGTCTACTTGATCTGGCAAAACGAGCATCCCTCTGATGTCCCTCTTTATTCAACCCCTCTTCATCTCAGCCAGTCATTCTCTGCCCCCCCCCTTTTACAATATCTCTTCTGCCTCACCGAATCTTCCATCAGCAACAGGAATCTGGGCCCTTTCAGAACCGGACCTTTGTCCATCTGCTGCTGTCCCAGAACTCCTGCCTTTAGGGAAAGGCACTAAAGCTCCAAGTCTCAGCCTTTTGTTCTATGAGGTCATAAGTCTGGAATTTTCCAGAACAATGACCCATTCCAAATATGGTATCCTGCCATATCTGTAAGTGTCCTTGCATTAAACAGACACGAGGCATTTGCAAATTTTTGCTTCAGAAAATTGTCACTATAGCGTCCCATTTGCCTATCGCATTCACCTATAAACTTCTTAAGTTAAATGTCTATTCAAACTGCTGCACTTTCCCTCTGGCAGTTTCCTGACTTCCATTTCTAACACTGCAGGGAAGCGGGCCCCTCAGATACCTTTTTCCTTTCATCCTGCGAGCCTTCCTGAGTCAGGCAGGGCTCTTGGAGCTGTGGGCTCTTCCGCCCTGTGTGATGCTGCCCTCTGCTGGGCAGCTCCTCACTCTCACCGGGAATCTCCTTTCCCCAGGCTGAGGGCGAACAATTGAGTAGCGTTTGAAATGATCCACACCGTGAACCCTGAAAGGCCTAATTAAAATAAACAAATCCTGGTCTCCTTCCAAGCAATCCTTGAGGCTGGCCTTTCAAAGATTCAAAGCCAAGTTCTCAGATGCTCAGTTGTGTCCCAAAGCACCTTCCAAGAGGTTAAATAATTCATTTACTCTGCTCAGCTGCCGCTTGAGGTGTTAGACATTCTTTTTACATCGATTCGGGGCATTTTAGGTTTTCATGCAGGAACCGTGACACTTATGCAGCATCTTCCCTAAGCTCTTGTGGCTTCAAACTTTAGTGACTTGGGTTACAAATTTGAAAGGAACATTTGTGTTTTAAAATTTTCTTCTCATAGTCGATAAAGTCTTCAGTTGAGCTAGTTACTCTTCAGTCACAAAGTCTAAAACAAAAAGGTTTGGGGCATTTTTGTGCATCGCATTCATCTCAACTGTCAACAGATCTCTTCAACTCCCAGCTACGCTCCTTCTCACGTACTGCAGGTGGTTAATGTCGAAAGTGCTCGCACACTTTACGAAGACCTTATGCATATACCATAGGACTGTTTATCCTGTTGTAGATCTATACATTTAATCATTTAGTTTATGTTGGTTTGTCCATTGTAGTCTTCTATTAAGGAAGGAGCATCATTAAATATATATATAATCTCCACGTTTGGATTACTCCATAGACTTTAACAGCAAAGCATTCTGGCACTATATATCTGCTTTATTAGAGGCTTTCACTGATGGTATTGTGTAAAATACAATTTATAGACTCCAACACAGATCCCTCATCTTTTTCCATAGTATAAAATCTTGCATTCCCCAATGAGCTATTTTCCCAGAACACAACAGATACAAACCTTGTAGACTGGAAACGAAGTGTGTAACATGACTCTTTTCATGAATAAGAACCGATTTCCTAAAATTACTGGGCTTAGTTTTTCTTTAAAAAAATTTTTTTGACTTTTAGAGAGAGAGGAAGGGAAAGGGGGAGAAAGAGAGAAACGTCAATGTGAGAGGGAAACATGGATCAGCAGCCTCCTGCACACCCCCCCGTCTGGGATCAATCCCAAAACCCTGACTGGGAATTGAATTGGCAACCTTCTGGCCCACTGGATGACGCCCAACTGAGCCACATCAGCCAGGGCTTACATTTAAAAAAACAACTACAGCCCTGGCCTGTTTGGCTCAGCGGTTAGAGCGTCGACCTGCGGTCCTGAGAGACCCGGGTTCGGTTCCCGCTAAGGGCGCGTACCTCGGTTGCAGTTTGTCCCCTGGCCCTGGTTGGTTGTGCGGGTGGCAGCCACTCGATGTGTTCCTTTCACATCGATGTTCCTCTCTCTCTCTGTTCCTCTCTCTCTCTCTCTCTCTCTCTCTGTTCCTCTCTCTCCCTCCCACTCTATCTGAACAAAAAATGGAAAAATGTCCTCGGGTGAGGATAAAAAAAAATAAAAAAACAACTACACTGTAGCCCAACCAGTGTGGCTCAGTGGTTGAGCATCAACCCATGTACCAACAGGTCACAGGTTCGATTCCCCCTCAGGGCACATGCCCAGGTTGTGGGCCCAATCCCCAGTGGGGGGCAGGCAGGAGGCAGCCAGTTGATGTTCTCTCTCATTGATGTTTCTATCTCTCTCTCTAAAAATCAATAAAGAAAAAATATTTTTAAAATCTACACTATAGCTCTGGCCGGTTTGGTTCAGCGGTTAGAGAGTTGGACCGCGGACAGAAGGGGCGCAGGTTCGATTCTGGTCAGAGGCACGTACCTCGGTTAGAGTTTGGTCCCCACCCTCGGTTGGGGTCATGCGGGAGGCAGCCAATCCATGTGTCTCTCTTGCATCAATGTTTTCTCCTCTTTCTCTTTTCCCCCCTCCCACTCTATCTGAAGATAAATGGAAACATGTCTTACGGTGAGGATCAAAACAACACAAAACAAAACTACACTGTATATCCATCAAGATTCTTAGTTGCAGATAATAGAATCTACTTGAGTTGGGTTAAAAAGGAATTTTTAAAAGATATTAGACCACTGAAAAGTTCATAGACCACTGAAAAGCCAAAGGAGAGCAGAGTGTAGGTTGGATTGTCAGGAAGAATTCTCATAACTACATCTCAAAACTGGCTGCTACTGACCCCAGTCATGCTGCCTCTGCCGTGACCAGGGAGCTGCTTCCACGTCAACCTCAGACTCTCTGCTGCACCCACACCAGCGAAAGCATGCCTGCACCTTGTCTCTCTTCCTGTAACTCACGTGAAACTCTCTCAAGTTGTTTTTCTAACTGTAATGGCAAAGGAGGCTGAAAAATGTAGTTTTTGAAAATTGTTTGTTGAGATTTATGATTTAGGAAATTATCAAAATGTGGAGAGGTTATAAAAATATTTTGAAACTTGATGCCCATCAATTTAAACAGAAGAAGCCAAACAAACAAACAAACAAACAAAAAACAAAGCAAAACAGGAAAGTGACTTTTCAGGAGAAAATAATTTTTTTTTTATTGAATGAGTTAGGCTGGGCCAATTTTAAGTTTTTATTTTAATAATGGCTTTAACATTACAAATTAACAATTATTTTCAGGCTTTATGAATGTGATTTTTACCACTTTTGTGAAAAAATTATATTCCTGCTTATGTTTAAATGTTGCCTTTTAGTTTCTCTACTGTAACATTTTCTGGTGGGGTTAATTTACACCTTCTTATGTGGCAAGATGCACTCAGGCAGGAGCAAGTGTTTTTTGTTTTGTTTTTTTATCCTGACCCGAGGACATTTTTCCATTTTTTGTTCAGATAGAGTGGGAGGGAGAGAGAGAGAGAAACATTGACAAGAAAGGGACACATCAAGTGGCTGCTACCTGCACGACCAACCAGGGCCAGGGACAAACTGCAACCGAGGTACATGCCCTTAGCGGGAACCGAACCCGGATCTCTCTGGACTGCAGGCCAACGCTCTAACCACTGAACCAAACCTGCCAGGGCAGGAATAAGTGTTTTGTTTTTATGTATGACAATGCCACTTTCCTGGCCCACTGGGTAGTTTCAGGGGCTCCCACAACCACGCACAGCATTCAAGAGACAAAACAGAGAACACATTTGTATGTTCCCAGCTGATTTCAGAATGAGCACATTTTTGGAGAGGAGAGATTTCTGCATAGGATGGGCTCATTAGGTTTTTAAAAAAAAAAATATATCTATATATTTTATTGATTGATTTTGGGGAGAGAGAGAGAGAGAAGCTGATTTGTTGTTCCCCTTTTTAAGCTTTCATTGTTTGATTCTTGTAGTATGTGTCTTCTCGGGGATAGAACCCAAAACCTTGGCATATCGGGTTGACACTCTAACTAACTGAACTACCCAGCTTGGGCTGGGCCCATTAGCTTTTAACAGCTCCTAAAAAGTAAGTATTTCTTGTACTTGCTTATTGTATCTTTGTTCTTTGGTGAGGAAAAGAAATCAACCACTTAAGAGACTTTTAAGCACATTAAATTTGCTTAAAAATATTCTGGTTTTATCATTCCTCAACAATTGTAAAGGCACAGTTATTCTTAAGAACATGTTCTTGTGAAAACACTCTGCACAGTGTTCTAACTTGCATAGCAAAGTACTCTTTGCACCGTGCGTTGGTTCAGAACATCCTTTTCACCGGCAGTTGGTTATTAAGAATGTTTGCAGCGTATTTTTCTTACTCTAACATGTCAGCTGGATTCTTGCTCTGAAGGATGATTTTGAAAATGATATGAAAGACATCTATCTTCCTTTCAAGTACGAGAGTGACCCTGAACATGTCACATAGCCTCATGGGTATCAGTTTCTTCATTTGTAAAATGAAGGGCTCCAATCAGATGACCTCTAAGTTCCTTCCCACTCTAGACAGTAATTCCAAGCCTCTGATTTTGTGCTTACATAGTGTAGTGATGGGATCTTTGAAAAGTTCTTTTAAAAATCAACCATTCCAAAGAAACTTCATTTTTAGGGACATGTTCTTTACTATCATAATATTAGAAAACATGCAATCAAGTTGTCTTATTTGAGAAACATCAAGAAAACCAAAGTTAGATACATTTTTTTATGTTTGTATTGATTTTTTAGAGGGAGGGGTAGGGAGAGAGAAAGAGAAACATTAATGTGAGAGAGAAACAGACTGGCTGCCTCCTGCACGCCTGCTACTGGGAATCAAGC